TTCAAATACTGACTCTTTTCAGCAATATTTCGCAATACTGACTCTTCAACAATATTTCCCAATAATGACTCTTTTCAACAATATTTTACAATAGTGACACTTTTCAACAATATTTCACAATAATGACTCTTTTCAACAATATTTAACGATAATGACTCTTTTCGACAATATTTCACAATACTGACTCTTTTCGACAATATTTCAAATACTGACTATTTTCGACAATATTTCAAATACTGACTCTTTTCGACAATATTTCAAATACTGACTCTTTTCGACAATATTTCAAAATACTGACTCTTTTCGACAATATTTCAAATACTGACTATTTTCGACAATATTTCACAATACTGACACTTTTCAACAATATTTCACAATACTGACACTTTTCAACAATATTTCACAATACTGACTCTTTTCAACAATATTTCACAATACTGACTCTTTTCAACAATATTTCACAATACTGACTCTTTTCAACAATATTTCACAATACTGACTCTTTTCGACAATATTTCAAATACTGACTATTTTCAACAATATTTCACAATACTGACACTTTTCAACAATATTTCACAATACTGACTCTTTTCAACAATATTTCACAATACTGACACTTTTCAACAATATTTCACAATACTGACTCTTTTCAACAATATTTCACAATACTGACACTTTTCAACAATATTTCACAATACTGACTCTTTTCAACAATATTTCACAATACTGACTCTTTTCAACAATATTTCCCAATAATGACTCTTTTCAACAATATTTTACAATAGTGACACTTTTCAACAATATTTCACAATAATGACTATTTTCGACAATATTTCAAATACTGACTCTTTTCGACAATATTTCAAATACTGACTCTTTTCAGCAATATTTCGCAATACTGACTCTTCAACAATATTTCCCAATAATGACTCTTTTCAACAATATTTTACAATAGTGACACTTTTCAACAATATTTCAAATACTGACTATTTTCGACAATATTTCACAATACTGACTCTTTTCAACAATATTTCACAATACTGACTATTTTCGACAATATTTCACAATACTGACACTTTTCAACAATATTTCACAATACTGATTCTTTTCAACAATATTTCACAATACTGACTCTTTTCGACAATATTTCTCAATAATGACTTTTTTGACAATATTTCGCAATACTGGCTCTTTTTGACAATATTTCGCTATAATGACTCTTTTCGACAATACTCCGCAAAATAATGACTTTTTTTGACAATAATTCGCAATACTGACTCTTTTTGACAATATTTCAAATTACTCACTCTTTTTGACAATATTTCGCAATACTGACTTTTTTCAACATATTTCGCAATAATGACTTTTTTGAAAATATTTTGCAATTGACTTTTTT